GTGCCCGCAAAAATAAATAGACTAGTCAATCTGAAACATTACATAACTCAAAAAGTGATATGTGTATCGTTGAATTAACTCCTTCGAACCGTGTTCAGACTTGTATGTTTCGATTATCTCCTGTTCCAATTGCTGCTGTCATAGAAATTATACATACAGCATTTTATAAATTCAAAATGGCCGCCCGAATTCCACAAGTTGACTCAATCCAACAATGGTGTTGTGATATCACAGTGAGAATAAATTAATATTAATGAGTTTGTTCAACGTCATACAAACAACAAACGCTTTAATTTGAATAAGTGGGCGCAGACACGTCGTCATACTCATAACATTTACACAAGTAATTTACAAATTTCAGTTTCATGTGACAATTCATTCACCTCTTTTCGTCACGGTAATTTCATTACGTGTTGGGACAGCCACTTTCCGGGGAGTGTAAAATAAATTCGCAATATAAACTCATAAATTCGTAAAATTTACTTACTTTTAGAAGATATAAAAACAGGTTTTTCATTGTGATTTATTAAAAAATTAACTGACTAGTACACACTATTATTCATAATAGTTTTTTTTATTTATTCGAAGCAAATAAATCTGCCCACTCCTGTCTACATAAGGTTTTTGATCGGTCTCAATCCGAGTGTAAAGTGTGTTTTAAATCCCTACAATACCGTGACGCACTTAACTAACAATCATTATGCAAGACTATTTTTTTCAAAATTGTCTTCAAAATGTACAAATACTCATTATCATTTTTTATAATGTGAATGTCCCAAACTTTATGTAAATTACATAACACTTACAAATGCTAGATCAGACCAATCCCAGTTAAGCTGGATCTAAGATTGGGATTTGTAATGTTACAACATGAGGTAACATGTCTTCTTTCGGGTAACGTCTTCTCTTCTGGTAGTACTCGATGTTTGATGCATTTACATTAAAAGTCTCAGAAATAAAGAAGACTCCGCTCGCGCTCTAGGTTAAGATGATTTTCAAAACCCTGTACCTCGGGACCATGCGCGTTAAACGAGACATAGACCCGTACTTTTTGTAACTCTGGAAATACAAAGTATGAAAAAATGTCTTTTTAACGGGTTTTTGTTATTTCTGGCCAAGAAAGTCTATTTGAAAAAATAACATCTAAATATCGATAGTATGATACCATGTTTTTCTTCTTAAATCCACTTCACATTCTCTGTCTGTTGACACCCTCTCCCCACACACCCCCCGTCGCTTGTAGTGGAGTATCTGGGTATATTTCCCACCTGGCAACCATCGCGGTGAATACAGGGGCCGAAAAGTCGTAGAAAACCGTAATTTGGGATAGTAGTTGAGTTTTTGCTGTTTCCCTGACAGCTTGTGCTTTGCCAATAGAAATACATGATACAGTGGTGAGCGATTTCAGCAACGTAGAATGTTCTGTGACGTAGCTTCGTTCCCATCACTTTCAGTAATGTTGGTTTAGGTTAAATTTACAGGAAGTTTCCACTTATGACAATACGAGCTTAATGAATTAAAATGTCTCTGTAAACTAATAATAGTATCAGAAAAAAGCGACATCGTCAATAAAAAGCAAGCACATAATTCCAACTAAATCGGGAAAAGTTGAATGCCTCGTTGAGCACCAGAATGAAATTAACGCTACAACTCGCTAAAATGTGATAGAACTGCGCACACATGACAAGACATAAATGGCATGGGACATTTTGAATATTTTGCACAGAGGCCTTGGAATAAATCAACAAAGGCGAATTAACAATATCCTCTCCTTTTAGACAAATAATTTTGAAAAATGCATTCATTTTGACGGATTAAATTATTGTTCACTATTGTAGAATATCCGCAACGAAATCCAGCCTGTGCCTCGTTAACGTTTTCAAGAGCTCCCGCCCAGAACAGTGTTTGAAAATACCATCACGTTTTCTGCATCATGTTTTGTAACGTCGTCGCCCGGATTTCCACCTATTTTTGTGAGCATTGGGTTATTTGATTAGAGTCAATAATAAATTATTTAGTAAACCTGTTTCGCTTCGAATTATTTATTAGAAGCAAATATTCGCCGTTTGATGTTTCGTTTCTGATATGAAACAGTGCCTGCCCACGCTTATGAAGTAATAGTGATACAATACAACATCACGTGTGCACTCTATGATACGGAAATGTTTGGAAGATTGGTTCTCTGAGTGCTGAGTGGCATATGTTGCTCAAAATGGACTCTTTATATTTATATAATAGTATCTAAAATTATTGTGATGTTTATCTTTTCTCGTGTTTTAATCTACATTTTTCAATAATATTACCACGCTTATCATAACATAGATTTTCAATTAGTGTAAATTACAAACCGTCCTTGTAGTTCCATGGTATTACTCTCTATGTTTTCTGTCACATGTATTAATGTCATGGAAACACATCATTATTCACAGTGTTGCAACTATATACTGCACGTTGCTTGTGCTGATTTTAACATGGCAAGTTGGTCAACCAACTTTTCATCAGGACCACTAACTTTTAAAAGTTGGTAGCCATGGTGTCTACCACATTATTTGTGTGAATTTATAACAAGAATGCGGTTGAGAATAGACGTAAATTCCATCACATGAAATTTAGAAACTAAAAATATCATAATTCACTTCCATCTCCATATCAGTGTAAATATCAACATTCCTTTTTAAATTTAATAACTCGCCAGGGGGTTGAAAATCATCATTTATTAATGGATCTTAGGATAAAATAATTCATCCTAAAACCTTTTTTATTCTTCCAGTCCGTCCCAATTCCAAATCTGTGTAGAGAATAAGACGTGTTTGTTTTCTCTCAACAGAAGTTTCTATTCGAAGCTTTATACAACTTCGATGTATCAAAATAATTTTTTCTACAATTTGTGGTTGACTTATTCAATGAAATACATTCCCCTTCAAACCACGGAGATTTATTTTGACACCGAGACACATTTTTTTTATTTTCGTCGACTTACTCTACAACTATCAGCTGTCGTCTTAAATACATAACTCAAATTATGAATCGGTCTAGAGCCAGTACAACAAAACTAGATTTGAATTTGCTACTAAAAAATATTTTATTTTTAAACATAGCGTCTCGAGACTAATTTATTTAGCTAGGAGATATTCTCTGTTTTTTTTTTTTTAAATTTACGGATTTGCCCCCCTTTTCATTTGGGAATCATCGATTCTCCGCTCAGTCTATAATCACAGTGACTTACTTGGTGGTTCGGGGTAAACTAGGGAATTCACAGGGGACAACGTAACACACTAGTTAATATATACTTTAATTTGGGGTTGCATGCTCAAAATTAGGAATTGCGCATGCGTAGATTTATTGTAATTTTACATGTTCACTTGATTTCAATTTTAAATTACTGGATATCACTTAGATACGACTCAGTGAAATTTAAACCGAGTAAATAATTGAAAAATTTACAGTAATTTTCGATCTTTCATTCTGTAGTTGAACTAGTATTATCAGCGTATATTTGTTAAGACAACACATTTGCGATTCGGAGCGTTCACTTTTCCTACGGATCAAAGTCGATATTTTCTGTTCTGCTTCGGCATCCCACGAGTACCCCATGTATACACTTGGCGAACAACACTCACTGAATAGCTAAACAGGGAGAAGAAATGCAGAACACAATAAATAAAGAAAAATGCAGACGTTTCGGATGGCTCCCAGAGGTCATCAGTGATCGTAGTTTAATTTGGCAGTCGTGAAGAATGGAAAAGTAACGATACTTGATGGGCGGCGGGTGATGATGTGTTTTTAATCTGTACGATAAAACGCGGCCTTATTGCATGCTTGCCAAGGTAACAATATTTGTGTTGGAAACTTATTTAATTTAAGCAATAAACTTAATTGGGGAGATACGCACTGATATATCACAGTAATCCCTACTTAGTCATTCGGGTCATGTTTTAGTTCTAGGTCAGCAGTGAAACAAAAGTCACTAAAGATAACACTATCAGCCTTAAACTATCACAGTAATTGATTACCAAGACCCTAAGTTATCGGCCATACATCTACTCAATCAGTAAATGTTTGGTTTTATACTGCAGTAATAACCTTAATTGTCCACCAATGAATTATCGACCTCATATAGCAACATCAACTACCCACGCATTGAACTATTGATCTTATATCGCAGTTATACCAACCCAAGCAAAGAATTATCGACCTTATATCGCAGTAATAACGACCAAGGCAATGAATTACCAGCCTTATAGTTATAACTACTCGGGTATTGATTTATTGGCCTCATAACTGAGTAATAGCTACTAAGACATTCCATTATCGGTCTTATATCGCAGTAGTAACTGCCTGGGCATTGATTTATCGACCTGGTATCGCAATATTACACTACCCAGGCATTGAAGTCATGGTCAGTCTTGCATCGCAGTAATAGCTACTTGTGCATTGCATACCGGCTCGGCCTTACATTTCAGTAATAACCACCCAAGCAATGAATTATTAGCTCAACATCTAAGTAATGACTACAGGTACATGTAATTATATCGTAAAAATAAATGTCAATGCAAAGAATTACATGCATCAGTAATGCCTATCCAGACAATGAATTATTTGTCTTATATCGCAGTAATAACTACCCGGGAATTTATTTTTTGGTTTTAATCGCAGTAATAACTACCCAGACATTTATGTATCGGCATTATATCGCAGTAAAAGTAATAACTACCCAGACATTTATTTATCGGCATTATATCGCAGTAATAACTACCCAGACATTTGTTAATCGGCCTTATATCGCAGTAATAACTACCCAGACGTTTATTTATCGGCATTATATCGCAGTAATAACTACCCAGACGTTTATTTATCGGCCTTATATCGCAGTAATAACTACCCAGACATTTATTTATCGGCATTATATCGCAGTAATAACTACCCAGACATTTATTTATCGGCATTATATCGCAGTAATAACTACCCAGACATTTATTTGTCGACCTAATATCGCAGCAATAACTACCCAGACATTTATTTATCGGCATTATATCGCAGTAATAACTACCCAGACATTTATTTATCGGCATTATATCGCAGTAATAACTACCCAGATATTTATTTATCGGCCTTATAGCGCAGTAATAACTACCCAGACATTTATGTATCGGCATTATATCGCAGTAATAACTACCCAGACATTTATTTATCGGCATTATATCGCAGTAATAACTACCCAGACGTTTATTTATCGGCCTTATATCGCAGTAATAACTACCCAGACGTTTATTTATCGGCCTTATATCGCAGTAATAACTACCCAGACATTTATTTATCGGCCTTATATCGCAGTAATAACTATCAAGATATTTATTTATCGGCCTTATATCGCAGTAATAACTACCCAGACATTTATGTTTCGGCCTTATATCGGAGGAATAATTACTGAGGCATTGAATAGTCGGCCTTATATCGCAGTAATTGTGGGTATACCATTGATTGTTGACCTCATATCACTGTAATTACTATTCTCGTAAGGAGTGAGCTTTTAGCTCCGATTATAGTTCCGTAGTTCACCGGGGATTTCAGGAAAGGTTATGAACTCTAACGAAATGAAACTGATATCGCAAGTGTGATTACTTATTATTTCAATTGCTCTGTGGGAAGTAGGCGTATCGGTTATTGATAGGCCGAGACTAACCATCCTCCCAACGAGCACACTGGACGAGAGATTGAGTATGGCCTGTTAGGTCCTCGAACCTTTTCCTGTCACAATGTTTGAACTAACTTTGATTTATGGAGTGTCACTCTACAATCTTTTGTCGGCGTACACCTGATTGAATGTTTCCTGAAAATTCGAAACGGCGGATAAGATTGCGGCAGCGGATAAGATCGCGATGAACCAAAATTTTGCCACATTTTGAGCTGAAGCATGTACAAGTCACGTGACAAACTGAAGTGTGTCTCGAGCAATTCCATGCGTTTCCATTCGTTGAGCAATTGTATGAAGTTTTCAGTGATCACGTAAAATATTTGTATGTCATACAAATCTGCTGTCCCGTTCGTCGGTTTTGCAATTATCCCTCACAAGTCATCATTCTGAAATTTTATATATATATTACATCGCTGTATGTAAATGTAAATGTTTAATTTGGAAAACCGCGAAATCCTCAAGAAATTGCATTCATTTGGCGCACTCTTGTTTGCATGTACCGAGACAGTGACTGTTCACGGCGACGACAACCTCGAACGAGGATGCAAAATACTGACATAATAGGACAGAATAAGATCACGCACACCTGAAGCGCTCTTCACTCACTTAAAATGGATCTAGACCAATGACTGGCCATAGAACTAACCATAGCCTTCTTATGTCGTTCATTGAAGCGCATGCGCAATCACAATTTGCATCTCAAGTTCCGTGTGTCATATGACATAAGTTACTTTAATTCCCAGAGTGACGTCCATCGTGTAACATGACTGTATCGGTAATAAATTTACATTACTACTATCAAGTGACATATGGTGATAAAACAATTTCCCGTTTGTAAGAAATAGAACACCAATACTTCACTATTCACAAGACTTCTAGTATACTAGTACTTGCTGATAGTGACACGTTCAATTTACGCTGCTATCGGTACTTACACCTACTGACTGCTTTTACACGTAACAAAGAGGAGCGAGGTCACAAAGGGTATGGATGTATTGTAGGTTCAAAGTCCATGTTTATCAGAGTCTATATCACCCCCTCTATATCTTTTTACCAATGAGTCACTGTTTTCGTACTTTGTCGTGGTCGATGTGGGTTCGAGGCGGTGTGTACAGCGCGTTGTTTACTGTCATTTCTGGGGTTCTAGAATTAAATTGGCTTCAATTTAGGGACGTTCAACAACACTGTGACGCAACTCTTTACTGTGAACATAACTTTTTTTTTTTAAAGATTGGATTTACGACTGGAAAAAATAGCTATATTTTTCAAACGTTAACATTATCGTCTGTGGGTTTAGGTGTGGTAAGTGAAAGAATTATATTTTCATGTCTGTGATAGTTAGATACCGTTCCTAAAATTGCGTTCGTGTATTAAAAGGTCTCGGAATCGTGGCAGTCAGACCACAGTCATTGTATTAAAACGCAACAAGGCTGTTATTACCGTGATTTGCGTTCCAATTGGTCTGCCACAGTTTACTTAACATTACATACCATCTACAATACCTACTATCTAGTATCATGGTCATACAGAAAATAAATGCAAAGACATGTTTGTAAACCTAAAGCGCGCAGTCTGTCTTTCATTGTCTGCCTTCAACCATTCTATTTGCATAAGGGAGATACACAAGGTTATGCATGGCAGCGAACGACGATGTTGCACTGCATGCGGTTACAGTATTGACGTTCAGCGCGTGCAGTATTCGCTTTAACACAATACTAATATGAAGGTACTTACCAGTATACTAGCAATACGGGTCCCGCCAAATATGACGTTGGGATAGATCATAGGTGTATCTCGGAGTGCAAAACGCTGACTTGTAAACACATGCGCAGTTCTAGTGTGGTACTATCGAATGTCATTCTTTATAATCCAAAAAAGATACTCGGTTACTTACTGTATCTGTGACTATCTCGACTCCCCTACTTAATACGTCGTAGATGTTTCAATTCACACACACTTTACACGACGGTTAAATTAAGGCACAGGCCAATACTCAGTTGGTCAATTCCAGAAAGATTCGGTGAGCAAAAAAAAAAAGCCATCAATTAAGTCGACTTAACACTGAGCAAGTTCCGCTTCAGTTAGCAGGAATAACTTCTTGTTGTACATCTGATTTGCATACGAGTTGACGTCTCGCATAATAATAACCGATCAGTGATTTGCTCAACAATGTGGTAAGTCGACACGCACCCAATCCTATACTCAGTGTTGTTGTTTTCGTAGAAATGCGGAAACGGAAGTTACTTGCGTGATTTCATCGGGAAATACCAAAATATAAAACAGTTCTAAGTAATATACATTTTATTACCAAACGCTTCAGCGTGGTATTAAGAGTTTCTTTTCAGGGGTGGGTGATACCAAGGTGGGAAATGGATGCACATATGGGGTTAATTCCTTGAATTGCAATATAGAGGGTTCAGGCTGAAATACAATATATAGTGTTTTCATGTTTCGTCTGATATTTCTGTGGTATTCTGCTGCTGTAAGTAATGCACGATTTGTTCCGAGTTGGGGGCAATGCGACTAAACAGTAATTGAAATTCAGGACACTATTTTTTAAAACGCGTTGCTTGAATAAAACTAACCAGACACATTCAATTTACCAGACTATTGAACAACTAAGAAAAGTGAAAAAAATACTTCTTATCGCCAGCATAAATGCGTAATT